GCCTGATTTACTGTTTACAAGAGGCCCACAGGTGAAAGGAATATTTGGCACAGCTTAGATTTTGGCATTTGAGTAAGATGTATGAAGTGAGTGACATTTCACTAGAGGATGGGATAATAAATTGTCATATCGAAGATCGCAGGTAAAAAGGAAGATTGTTTGTGATACATTTTTAAAGGGCCCATATTATGCTATTTCTGATCTATGTTATAATGTTGTTTCCTCATCACAAACATACCTGGAGTAGTGTTTTGTTTCATTCACACACGTTTAACACACACACCCTGCATGTTTAGGCTGAGTTCTTCCCTCCAACTAAAAACAATCAGTTCCACTTTGTGATGTCGTGTGGTAATACAGGAAGTGCTCCACTGTATTTTAATCTCCATATGTCTTCACTAGAATCATTTGGATAATTTCAATCTCTACTGAATTTAAGGTAAAGGGTAGCTTCACTTCATGACACCACAAGGTGGACGAATTCTGATTTTTGGAGATATAGACAGATTAATTACAGATAAGTTACTCAGACATTTGCGAATTAAACAAAATATAGCTACATGAGGTAATAACATTAATAACATGTCTTAAAGCTCACATGAATTAATTCCACTCAGTACAGGACCTTTAATTGTGATTGATCAAATGTGAGTCACCAGCAAAGATAATCCTCACTATACCACCTGATTGTGGTGCAAACAGCTACTTGTCCATGAACTTCTCTTCAAGATCTTCGCTGTTTTCACTTATCTGAGTAAAATGTAGGAAGTGAATGAAATGACATGCTTGTAAATGTGTGTGTGGCCCTGCTTTGTATCCAACAAATAGGTCTTTATGTTGTTGTTCAGATATTATACATTTTATCTGTCATTTTGTCTTTTTCTGTCAAGCCTCAAACCATCTAAATGCACTTTCTCTCCCCTACCCACCCTACTGTTTCAGTTCTGTCGTGGAGGCTTTGTCTGCCACATATTCACTATAGCAGCAGAACCATGAACCTCCTCGCCTTGTCCATTATCTGTAATTGTATTTTCTATTGTCAAAAACATTGCTGATTGGATTGATATAGATTTTACATTAAGAAAGAATAAGCAAAAGAAAAAAATTGATTCTGTCAACTGGACAAATGTTTTAAAGTAAAGATGTTTCATCCAAGTGACTTCTTCAATTTATTCTCTTGCATAATTGGCAAAACACCATTCTAAAACTTCTGGCCAGTGAATTTTCCTTTTTATTTATGGATCCTACCTGGACAACTGAGGGATTACAAAGACATAATGAACAAATGCTAGAGTGAACAGTTGTCCTTATTCAAAAGTTGAAACCCAAAAGATCTATGCAACAATGTAATAATATATAACCTGAATATTATTATTTTTGAAAATGATTTAGCTGCATTTATTATAACTACACTTTATTTAACCTTAATAAAGCATGAACAAAGACTTATTTGTTAATGGACAAATAGTAATTTCTTAAAAATAACTCAGGCTTACCCAACTCATCTAATATCCCAACTCCTAAGCCTTTGTTTAAGTTGAGCCTGAATCATCAATAAACATTTTGTTTTTGTATTTTATGCTTTAATAATGTTAATTGAGGTAGAGTTATAAAGTGGTACCCAAGAATTTCCCCGAGGAATTGACTACAATTGTTGATAGAGCACAAGTAAGCTTGACCTTAAATATTGACTTTATTTTTGTACTGAATGACAAGTTGTCTTTCCTCTCCTGGTTTTGTCCCCAGACTGAAGACAATAAAGGAGTTGTTTGGAGGTGCTGTGTGGCTGCTTCCTCTGGACTGGGCTGGAGTCAAGTGCTTTCTTTTCCTCTCGGAGCTCTGTGCTTCCTGCGCCGCCGGGACGCAGGATTTCCCTGTAGCCGGTAACACACCCTGCACTGAACACATACTACTGCATATGAGAGGGGAGTGGGCTGGGTGTGAAAGGGGACTGTCTACCACGGGTCTGTGTCAAATACAAAGAGTCTGTATCAACAGTTTCCTCTCAGTAAAATCACTTGGCACACGAGGATGCACATTTTTCTCATTCTTTTAAAATTGAATCAGAGCATCCCTAAAAATGTATATACAGTATTATATTGTAACCTACATTTTGATTTTTACACATTTTTAAATATATTTAATATGCGGAGTGCAGGCTTTAAATAACATCCAATCCAATAAACCCGAGTTTCCCTTGGGATCAATAATGTATCTATATAAACTGCAGCCATAGTATTAATAGTAGTTGTAGTTGTCCATGTGACCTGAGAACAGTTTTTGCATCTCAGAATCAACATTTAGACCAAGTCCCACTTACGATTTATATTTGCTCATTCTAACTCCATTCTAGGACTCCACAGTGAAGTGAAGTCATGCTCCCAATCCTGTAGTTCTTCTTTTCATCTGACCTCTTTGCCCTTACGCCATGTGAACTCATGTGACAGCTTTGTATTTATCAAGTCTTTCTCTCTGACCTGAACATAACTTTCCCCGTCCTCTGGCTTCTACTATGTATTGTATTTCAGAGCCAATGTGTTCATCTTGATGATAGAGATAATTATCCTTGAGGCTCTTTATGAATGTAGACTTTTAAACAAAGCCTAGTTCAGATCATACATGAGCCCTCTGGCCATTTTGGCAGAGACTTGTATCACTCTATTAAATCTTCTCACCTCTAACAGCTTCTTCCCACAAATTGTTATAAGCCTAAACAACGCACTTTGAACTTTGATGTTGCATCTTAATATTTTAGCTACTTAATCTTTGTATCTTGTTTATTTCACAGTGTCATATGTCTTCTGCAATGACTGTCTATTTGTTTATGTGGTTGTTTTCAATGTCTCATGGTGCACTTTGAGCTTTTTGTTTTTCCAATGTGGGTTTTAACTATAAATGAAATAAACAAATTTAACTGACTAACTAACCAACTAAGTAATTATATATATTTTTTTATTGTTGTGTTATATTATATGGCTTCTAGAGATAGATTATACATTTCTTTATGGATCAATACGGTGAGTCCAAGCCAATCTTTGTACATACCTTCAGTCTTCAGTTCTGGAGAGGCTTTTCACTTGGCTGACCCTGCTCTTGTCGGGGCCCCACTGTGCTTCTATTCAAACGTCCCAGATGGTTTTCAGATGAATGTGGTGGGGGGTGGGGAGTGGAGGGGGGTTGAGGATGGGACAAGGAGGGTCTGGTGGAGGGTAGGACCACGCCACGCACCCTTTGTCTGAGGAGAAAGGACTGGCCCAGATAAACTGCATACTTTGGGAAGGGGTGGGGTAACTTTATTGGCAGCATCAAAATTAATTCACACATAAGGGAGAGTTATGGTTGGGATGGAGTCCTGGTCAAAACTGTTATATTAATAGATGACTGTATACATGGTTATGGATTTCTATGTTATATTTATATTATGTATGAGGTAATTGCAAAGTGCTTTCATTTAATTGTCTATTGTAAATATTAGGTATATTTCCCAGCTATATATACTGTATATGTAGTTCAATATGTAGACTTACACAACCACACACCATCTCATTCAGTGTTTTTTTCCCTTTATTTTTACTACTTTATACATTTTGAATACATACAGAAAACATCAAATATATAAGATAGATAAGATATTATGTAAGAAGTATGTAGCAAAAGAAAAAGTTAAATAACTATTTAATACTCAAATCTTAAATCTCAAATCTCTTTGCTTTAGCAAAAAAAAAAAAACTAAAACTAAGAACTTTACTACATAGTTCCATATATCTTAATATATCTTACTTCTGTATGCACACAAAATGTAGAAAGTAGTAAAAATAAAAAATAAAACATTCAGTGAGAGGGTGTGTCCAGACTTCTGACTGTAAGTGTATATGGCATATTGTTACTAGAAATACCTGGCCAATAGAATAATAAAATCAAGGTTGCCAACAGATTATGGTTTTATGGCACCTAACCTTCTTGGCTCGTGCATATGTTACAATACTTGGAAAGTTTTTGTGTTGTTTTTTCGGAATGCTTTCAGTGTATGGGATCATGTGACGTTTTTAAAAGCTATACATTTTGTTACTCACTTTGAGGACTGTTGCTGTATAAGACTACTTCTGTACAAATAGGCCTGTCACAATAACACAGTTTGAAACACAATTTATTGCTATAAAGAAATATAACAATATTGAAACTACTTAATAACACAGGATAATTCAAGTAAACCACTATTTTAACTGACAGTTTAAAGGCATGAGCTACAAATAAATAAGATGAAAGAAAAATTATTAACCATAGAAGTGACTGATTTAACCCTCTACAGCTCAAATCTTAAACACTAAAATAACTGAACTCTCACTATTGCACAGAAAATGTACGGACGACAAATACTGAGCCCAAAAATATATTGATCCAGTTATCATGTATTGAACAATAAGTATACTGTAACTGTATATAGTGTATTCTGGCAGGCCTATATACAAGAGTAATGTCAGGGTATTTTTTCTGAAACAGTGCTATGGGCTCAAAGACACGATGCTTCAGCCACATGCCATCACTGTTCACAAGCTCCTATTTCATCAACAATGCCTTCTCCATTAAGAAAACAAGTTCATGTTTTCTGTAGTGTTAACCAAAGCATAGTGCTCATCAATTACTGTGTAACAATTGACTTTTGTCCGGTTCAAAAGTTCACTTTGTCTGGCGCTCTGTCTGCTGCATTATTTTCACCCAAAAATAATTACTCTCTACTGCTTTTCTCTTCTTTTCTTAATTCACTCTCGATAATTTCATTAAAACCTTGGCAATATCCGCCTTTCCTCCAGCCTCTAGCTCGTTATAAAACCCTGCAAGTGTGTGACCTATTGAAAAAGCATTGAAATCATTGCTGCTTGTTTCTATAGTAACCCAGGCTTTTTCCCTTTCTCACTAACTCTCCCACTCGCTCTTTCTCTTTCACAGGCCCTGCCCCTTTTGTCAGCCAGGTCATGTGATCGCTCTGACGTCAAGCCTGGTTGGGGGAGAGGCAGAGAGGCAACAGAAAGCAAGCAGGAGCGGCAAAGAGAGAGAGAGAGAAAGAGGAGTTTGTGTGCATTTTTGCCAGACCTCCTGCCTAGACTAGGAGACTACAAGGCAGCTACAGGCTTTCGATACCACTCCCTACTATCTCTTTCAAAACAGAATCTTCTTTCTCCCTTCTACTTCCTTGTTTGAGCACACTATAGCTCTCCTTTGCCTGCTTAAACTGTTGCTCCTTCCTCGTCTTGAGCTGGTAGTAGTAACTTAGTTCATAGTCAGAGTGATAGGTGATGGACTTCTGAGCTTCTTCTACATTGCTACTAAGTGAGGTAAGCTCTTCAGTATGCTTTTTTTTATATATGTATATTTTGCCTCTCTTGGTCCACTAAGACTTGTACATTGTGTTATATGCATTGCTGGAAGCTACAAACTTGCTGCAAAAAGGAAGTTGTCTCTAACTTGACCCTGGACAAAGTATGAGTTTACAATGTGTACTTTACAATGTGGAGCTTTTTGATATCTGGAAAAGACGTTATACCTCGTTTTGTCCAAGTTAAGGCACTCTATAGTTATATCTAAAATGTCAAATTATATTTTTTGCATTGCTGAATCCTAGCTAGTTGCTGATTATGCTGTTTATTTACACTGAATAACACATTTTGCATTGAATTTTAGCCTGAGCTTATATATTTGTGAAATCTATAAGTGTATTTTTTGCAGTAGTATTTCCCCCTAATGATGTTGTTCCATACATCTTCTATACCGTGTTTATAAACATAAACATTTTTCTAAAGTTTCAAGCTTGATTTGTTCAGCAGGTTGTGGATTGTATTGATTGTATTGCTTTCTTGAGAACTAAAATGTACCCAGTTTTGTTTACAACCCCCCTGCACAGAAGCTTGGTGGAGGGAGAGATGTGCAATTGTTACGGGGGCAGAGATGGTTTACGCTGTGAGCCTTGGCAGTGACGGGCAGCTCCACATGGTTTTTCCTCCAAGAGCGTTGCTAATGTTAGAGGCACTGTGTATTATAGTGGGCTGGAGCCTCACAGTCACAGAGGAGAGAGTGTGTTTGGGAGCTAAGGGGGGGCTAAGCAGCTGCCACCTGCCCCACAGGCACAACAAGAACTCCAAAAATGCAACAAATGTACAAACGTTATTGCAACATGCACACACCAAAAACATGCCAACATCATCTGAATTTCAGCTGTAGAATGAAAGTGAAATCTGTATATTTTTAATTGGGTTCCCCTATAAAAAAGATAATATTATACTTTTTCTGCAGTACCAAGGGATTATATGAACCAATACATAAGAATATTGCATGCAAAAGTAGTACTAGTAAATAATAGTAATAGTATTGCAATGTAGTAGTGTTGTTAAAATTTAAAAGCAATTTCAATATTGAGGAAAAAGGAATCTAATAAAGTCTTGTAATACCATGTGATCATACTATTTCAGTTCAAGACATTGTAAAACTGTGTTGGACATGTGAAATTGTGGCCCATTTATGTGATTTTTTTTGGGGGGTAGTTTCAATACTGGACTTAGTTTCAATTAGTATCTGGGTATCATTGTAGCTTATTATCATGTGTAGCTAGTAGTTCATTTTTCACCCTTAAGTCCAACATATAAGACCCTTGAAATTGCCTCTTTCCCACTGCTCTCGTCTACACTTCTGATCCTCAAACAAAAGTGCACCAGTCCAAATTTCCCCCCCAAAAACAGTGTAAACACTCAGCTAGTATGGATAAGAAGAAAATCCTTGAATGCTTTTTGTCCTCCTCCGGCTTCCCCTAGTGCTGTCAGACTCTCTCTCCTCCCTCGACTAAATGATGTGGAGACCAGCCAGCAGCATGTAACAGGTCTTTTTCAGTGTAAGTGAATGTGCTGCCTCCCTGGGTGTAGACTTGAAGTGATCCTATCTAATTAAATGCTTGGGGCTGTAAATAACACTGGCCAATCAATTGAATCTTACTGTCATGGTGATTTGAGGAAAGTTTACAGTGAAATAATGCTATGTTTGGTCTGCTGGTTTCTTGTGGGCAAAGTTAAGCTTGATAATGATCAGATACAAAAAGAGTATATTTTTAGATTTACATAGTGGTTGAAAATGCCAGTGGTATACCAATATTTAAAGTGCAAAACATTTTTAGTGGAGGATCCCTGCCTCCTGCTTGTCTCCATGGAAACGTTATTGCTTTGTCTAGAATGTTCCACAGTATTAAACCTATCTATCACAAGGGAGACAAGCAGGTTACAGCATTACACTATATTGCAGTTCAGATCTGTAGAAAGTTGCCATAGAAGGATGTATTTTTGAACAATAGTAACACCCATACTGAGTAAATGCTAGATGTAAATGTTTATTGTCATACCATGGAACATTCTAGGCAAAGCAATAACATCTCCTTGGAGATGTGTAGGTAGTGGACTCTCCACCAGAAAAGTGGTGCAGTGAGTTAGTGTAGTTAGTGTAGTTAGTTATTCCAATTAGACATCTACATAAAAATGGGGAAACTTCAACTGGTCTGCAGTGGTCCAAATGTATTTTGCATTTCAAGCATTCAGACATTTTCACCGCACTTTTCACAACTTTCAGAAACCAGAGTGGAGTTTAACTAGCATTCCAACTACGCACTTCATGATTATCGAACAATAAAATGCATTAAAGGTCGATGCAGATGGTACACAGCAGACTTATTTTGATTTCAAGAGCTGCTTTTACACTATATTCATTCTGGGACAGCTTGCTGAAATACATGGGAGAAATCATGTACATGGCATTTTAATAGAGCAAAAACAAAAAGACAACTGTTTATAGATCATTTTAATTAGACAACCCCAATTGTCTTAAAGTATATCACAGAGTGGACTTCAGATGTATTGCGTTCTTCTTTGTATTGAGTCTGCTAAGTGCTTCCAAATGCGCTGGAAATGGTTTGAATCTTCTTCCTGTTTGTGAAATGAGCTGCGTAAATACCACAGACAAGAGCTCATTACAGAAGATAATGTGTGTCTATTGCACTGTTTTTGTATTGGACAATATTATTTTGTCCTCATGCATCAAGTGTAGGGAGGCTGTTAATCGAAAAAGCTGCTCCTACTGACAGCAATTGATGATTTCATGCAAAAAACGCTTTTATCTGACATCCTGCAGCTGGCTCTGCTCACTGTGCAGAACTAACCAAACAATAAGATCACAAAGCTATTAGCTCTTTAGTATTGACCGTATGTTAAGATTGCCTTATAACCACAAGGTTCACAATATTTTATGGACTTTGTTATGTATATTTGAAGGCAAGCCACACAGGCAGCAATGCTTTGTAGCAACATGGCCAAAGAGCCAAGGTAAATAGACCATGATTCATTCTGTTTGTTTCAGAGCAGTTTTCACCTTTAGTATTTGGAAATAGTTTTTAAACATGTCTACAATACTATGAGACTCTCCACAATACTGCAGTGAATACTGGGCCATAAGATTAATACTTTTTAGATGGCATTAACTAAAAATTCACATTGTAGAAACAAATACTAGCAACGGTTTTGTGTTTTGCTATATCTTGTTAAGAGACTGCATATAAAAGACTAGGGCTGTAGTCCTTTGATCAACCAGTCAATTAATTGGTAGATGGTGTTTTAATCGACTAACGCTTTTATTATGTGATTAATTATTTTATTAAGATTATAAGGACTTATAAGCTAAACAGAAGAAAGGGAAAGGCATGGACCGGGATAGGTGGGGTTTCGGGAGTGACTGGACAGTTTAATCTTTGCTTTCATTTTTGAAGGTGCTGTTTATTTGTACTCCTCTGTATACATGCTTCATCTTTGCAAAACTGAATTTAATTTTAGCTTTTGCCTTGCTACACCCCTCTTTTAGAGGATTACTCAATGCAAAGGGTCTTTAGTCGACCAAGAATTTCTTTAGTTTATTTTGCCATCACAATTTAAATTATATGCGCACAGTTTTATTGTTTTTGGTGTGATTATCTCCACTAAATTAGTTCAGTAGTTTAGTATTTCATTTGAATGAGAGTGTGATGAGTGGTCCATCTTGAGCATTTCCTGTTTACACTTCACATACTAGTTGCTGAGATATTCCCTACCTCACTTACTGGATTCTTGTTCTTCAGAATACTTGAATAGTGTTCATGTGTGTTCATTTCCTCCTCACAGCTGAGCACACACTAGAGGATGACTAAGTGGAGTGATACGGTCTCCATGACTTTGGTTCATTCATTTTTCAGCTTCTATTAAAGCTGCTGAAAGGTCAGATGCAGGAATTTACACTGTGTCCTTATCACAGGGTCATATGGTCGATACTAATGCGCCACACCTGCATATGTTGTACAGCGAGACTTTTAGAGATGAATGTTTGTCCAGTTAATAGCTGTTCTAATGGGAAAGCAGTGCAGACCTTCTCAGTTAGCAGTATTTATGCTACTGATGATGAGAATGTAGAATTCCCGTTTTGGTAGGTATGAATCCAAGAGGACCTTTTGCAAACTAGAGTTAAAAAGTACCAAGTAGTAACTCTGCTGTTGGGTCTGCCACATGATTGTATCCATAGAGATGTTGTCTGTCATACTGAAGTGTTCCATAGTATGACTATAAACTTTCTCGCATTTATTAAATTACTGTTGTTTTTATTGCTCAAAACTTCCTTGAAAAATATGCATTCTTGCTGAGCAGAATCGCCTCACCATAGATCTAACCTGCGACTTGAGCTGGCATCAGTGACATCAACGACAACCCTCACCAGAAAAGTTACACCTTTAATGAAGCATACAGTATAAAGCGTTAATGTAAGTTGCAACTAACCACAAGTTTTTGTGGTCTTGCAGGTGTGATAACATCAGTGGCTTCTTGTTGCAAGTAAAGTAGTGCATTTTGTATTTTCTAAAATCTATCATAGCATAGTGTGTTTCTGAACAAAAGCATTTTAAATCTTCATCTAGAACAACCTTGATTGATTCACAATTGTTATGTAATAGTCAAACTTCCTCCCTCCCAGTGTATTCTGCCGGAGCCCACACACACACACACACGCACACGCACACGCACACACACACACACACACACACACACTCACACACACACTCACACGACATTGACAGATATATTTACACCGTTCAAAAGATGACCAAGAAATTGCCTGCATTTTTCGCAACACAAAGCCCAAGTGAACAAGCATCGGAGGGCTTTATAACATCCTGTTTTGAACTTAAGAGGGTCTCATGTAACCTGGTGGAAACTTACTTGAAAGGAGTTTATGTAACCGTTGATTTATGAGCAACAAGACCAGGAGATAGAGAGAAAGAGTTTTG